ATATGCTGTATGATCATGACGGATAGGGTTATGAGCTATATTTATGGCTGCTTGGTTGTCACAATATAATCTCATTGGGATGTTAGCCCGTATCCCCATCTCTGTCAACAAGTTCTTTAGCCACAACAATTCTGAAACTCTATGAGCCATTGCACCATATTCTACCTCTCCATGACACAATGTTACCAGCCCCCAAGGTACAATACCCAGAAGTACAATACCTATCATCCACAATGCCCAATCTGCATCTGTATACGCTTCAACCTTAAGATGTCCATGGTAAGAATATAGCATCCCCTCACCTCAACATCACTTTAAATAAGAAAGGATCCTGTTAATAGCCTACACGTGAGATGTTCTAGGCATCAACATATCATATATCAAGCCAGGTTAGACAAAGATAAAGAAGGAAGCCAACTAGTCTATGGTAGGAACCCTTATCTGGAAGAATAACAGCCCCCAACTTATGATTGGAATTGATAGGAATTTCAGCTGGCGTGCATCCTAATTTTCCTACTTCTTGAAGCTAATCAAGACGATATTTTTTCTATGAAATATAAATTCATCTCTTTGACTTTGCCACCTCAGTCCCAAGGAAATATCACAATGTTTCCGAGACCCTTGACCTCAAATTTAAAAGCAAGGAAAGCCTTCAATTCAGAAATGCTAGATGCAAGGTTCAAAGTATCGTTACGTATCGGCCTGTATCAGCCGATACGTATCATTCCGGGACCCTTCCGATACGCCCCTACAGTGGGTATATCGGGGGTCTGACTGGTTCAGAGGATGGAGGGGTCCTAGACCGGCTCCCCTGAACCAGTTTTGAAAAAAAAATTAAAAAAAAGGTAAAAAAACAAGTATAGAAACGCCCGATACGTCCCTACCGACGTATCGATATTTTGAACCTTGGCTAGATGTACCATCTCTTGCAATAACAATGTCATCAACATACACTATCAACATAGTTTCACAGCTACCAACTCTCCTGATGAACAAAATGTGATCAGCTTGAGATTGTTTGAGTCCAATTTTCAAGACAGCTCTTCTAAATCTATCGAACTAGGTGATAGCTTAAGGCCATACAGAGGTTTCCTCAAACAGCACAAGCTTTCCCTTCACTACCAGGGATATTCACTCCTAAGAGCACCTCCATATACATTTCTTGAAGATCGTCATTAAGAAAAGCATTCTTTATGTCCATCAAGGGCCAAGAATAGTGGGCAACAAGAGACATGATGTCATGAATGGAATTTATCTATGCCATTGGAGCGACAGTTTCCTCGTAATCAAATCCATAAGTTTGAGTATACCCCTTTGCTACCAAGCAAGCTTTATACCTGTCAAGCTCTCAATTGAACCATCAGCTTTATCTTTAACAGCCCACTTGTCACCAACTGATACTTTATCTTTAGGAAGAGAAACAAGGCCCCACTTTTGGTTCTTACTAAGTACCTCCATCTCTTGCTCCATAGCATCCTTCTAATGTGGTGATTGTACTACCTTTGTAACACTAAGAAGTATAGGAACAAAAGAAATGGCATAAATATAAGCATAATATAAAGGAAATAGGGTGTCATAAGAAACATAATTAGAAATAAGATAGAGGTAGAGCTCTTCCTTTACGAACTGCAATAAGAAGATCAAGGCCAAAATTCAAGGGAAAAATATTAGCAATAGAATCAAGAAGAGGTTCAAATTCAACAAGTTGGTTACCTGGATTACTTAAATCTAAGGGGTTAGATTATGGTGGAAGTTCAGTCTCGGGAGCAACCTTCTTCCACCTGATAAAACACTGTTGCAAGGAGGGCTATCAATGCAAGAGGAAGAGCAAAAGTACCAACTTAAGTAGGAACAGTAAGACAAAAAGGAGTCCAATCTTCACCAACACTCTCCTCTTGAAGAGAAGGACGAGATGACTATAACAAAAGACTTGACTTAAAAAAGTGACTTCCTTGGATATGTACTTCTTATCTGTTGTGAGGATAATTTAATTGTTATTTTATAGTTGTTGTTAGTGGGTTGTCCTCTTAAGATGTTGTCAGTTAGTTATTTTCTTTCTTTCTTATTAGTTTGGTTCTAGGGAGTATACCTCGTGAACCGACGGCAACTCTTTGCTTCCTAGGATCTGAACTCTCAAAGGTTCATAGGCAGGGTTCAGTCCCAACAAGAAGGCAAACACACGCTGCTGAGAAACCAGCTTCCTGTAGGCCTTAGCATCGTCATCATGTTTCCACTCTATAGCCTGATAATGATCCAATTTATTCCATATGGAGGTAAGGGCTGAATAATAGGAAGACAAACTACAGTTTCCCTATTTACAGGTTGAGGATTCAGCTTGCAACTGGTAAACCTTGGCATAATGCCTTTGCTCAGAATAGGTAGTTTTGGC